TGTCTGTCTGTCTGTCTGTCTGTCTGTCTGTCTCTGTTCTGCATATTCAGCTGTGGACCAAGTAGTATTCTCGTATGGGTCCGGTAGCAACTGTCTACCGGTATTAGCTTTATGTGACCCTTAGGCCACTTCTGATGTTTTCCCGTGTCCTGTTCCTTCAAACACTGAGAACACGACTTTTTTGTATCTATAAAAATGTCCCCACCCGGATGTCTTGTCATTCCTTCAGAACCTACCACACACATCGTTTCTGATAATTTCTTTTTTAATATTCAGTCTTTTATCTTTTCATTCCATCTGTTTTTAATTACTACACCATATTTAGATTGTATGTTTTTTTTTCTTTCCTTAGCTTCGTTCCATGACAAAGTAATCTTAAACTCAATCATTTTTCTGCTGAGACCGACAGCATGTACAGAATTGGTGAACATTTAAGTACGCTACTTATGGGATATGAAAGTAGTGTATTAAGCGGTTTGATCCTGCTCCTTGCATAGTTTTACAATTTTCATTATTTTTTCTTCTATTTTCAGTTACTTCTGAGTTTGTATAAAAGTGAAGAGATTCTTAATGATGAACGCAGTACATTAACATTTTATTTCTTTCCAATTTGAGAAGTGAATCAATCAAAAAACATAAAATCAATTGACAAATTACAGAACCTACATCAAATTGGATTACTTAGAAGACCAGAAAGTGAAATATATATGAGTATTTTTAGAAAAAGGTTTTATAAATGTAGCAAAATATGTAGGCTTTATATTATTGTAATAAGTTCAAAAGACCCAGCTGGTAACAAACCGAAAACTGTCAATGGACAAACATTTCTTCCAAGGTCGTGTGATGTAGGGTAAACATGTCTCATTTGGATTTCAGTTTCAAGATTGAACTTTCAAAGTGAAAAGGGTTGAGCAAACACAACAGCAAATATAATACACGAGAAGAATTAATTGCAACGTTAATGCAAGTGCAAGAGTAACTTTCGCATTCTTTCGCGAATGCATTCATTTTAAGCTTTAGGTGTTCAAAATGATGAATTCCCATAATACCTTAATATATGTGTGTTTCATCGACAAAACACACACACCGCCGTATTATTCTTTATTAGATGATTAAATATATATTCCAGGTTATTTTGCTGAAAAACGCTTGAATATTGTATAGCAGTTTTCTTGAAAATATTTTACAGCACTTTTCTTCCATGATATTTAGAAGGTAGTAATTAAGCGAGCCAAAGTGGTGAGATTATTTCTACGTACGTATTATTGAAGAAAAACTCTTCTTTTTGTGGACACATAACGACAAACAAAAATTTAGAGTTGACTGAAGTGGGGGTTAATATTACAACACCAGGCAGCTGCTACGCTGTACTGCGATCGGGTCAGACATTAGGTCGTCAAAAATACAGTGCGCTCGCGCCTTACAAATGTTAATGATCTTCCAAGTCTGTAACAGCGCTTCAAATCTTGGAAATGAGAACTAAGTACACGGAACAAAAAGGCTACGATGAAATTGGAAAATTACCAAAAACACTTTCTACGGTAATTAGCTCCTGAAATCAAAACTGTCAAGGAATTATACGTTGCTAATATTATAAATAACAAGCTGATTTTTTTCCCATCGTGCGAAATCATGACTCCTAAATTTTATACAAAAGAAAAGATGAAATGGAACTTTAAACCGCATAAAAGGGACCACTATATCAAAACATAGTTCTCGTCAAATTACAGCTGTAAGCAACATTCTTTACCACCCTATTATCTCGCGGCGAGCGACCAGACGAGCGGCCAGTTGGTGCGGGCCAGGGCGCGCGCACCCGGTCGTTTGTCGCGGCGGTGGCTATTGTCCCCGCGCGGATATCAGAGTCCGTTGCCCCTGGCCGCCCCGTCGCGCTGTCACCCTACGGACACCGCTAATCCGCCCTTTCAAACGACTCAATGACGAACCTGGAGGGGAGGAAGATAGGGCGGGCGAAGAATAAAAGGACACGACAATTGTTCCAGATGGGAGCAACCACGAGACACTGGACACCGAGTACAAGAATAATATTTAATAAAGACCCCAGCAGTGCGTTTGCTGGGCGGGTAACGCCACGCGTCCTATTGGTGTATCGAATAACTAATGGAAAAATGTGATTTTTCCAAATGTTTGAAATTAAATGATCAAGAAGAGCTTGTGAACTTCTGTTGGTTCGTAGCTGTCTAATATGACTTGTTGATACGACCGGAGATGTATACGAACAATGCGGTATCTAGTGTTGGTGGGTGCAGTTCATCCTAAAGCAAAATAAGAGATTCTCCGAAATTTATGGTAAATCACAACATTCTACAAACGTTCAGAGAAACGATTTTTGGTACTTAATATCTTCAGTGGTCTTCCAATTTTTAGAATTTCCTTTGGACTTTATTATATTATACAAGAATTTCTCATTTTTAAACATTTGTAACGCACATTTGAATTGATATATTTTTATAATTGTCTAATAATCATACAAAAATTGGTCGTTAAATAAATTTAGATTACTGAGAATAACGAACCTTAATGTTAAATTATTCTTGACAAACAGAACTGCTGGCATTGCTAGCATGATTATTCTTATTATTTTCATTAATAAATCAGCAAACAATACTTCAATCATCTTCGCTAAATGTCCACACGAATCGTTCTAAAACGAAATGTCAGTTTTCAATTTTTCGACCCAAAAAATACTTCTTTATTAAAATTCACAAAATACGTAATTTTAATACCATAAAACAATATCAAATAACTAGCTGAAATACAATTTCCAATGGAACTTCAATATAAACCACAACTTAAAATAAATGTTGCTATTACTGCAACTCCAGAAATTAAATACGAACAAACAATCTAAACGACTAAATTAGTAATTTTGACATGGGGGTGTGACACAACCGTATTACGCACACAATGTGTAATATTCACCGCAGGGAGAGGAAAAATGGATATCTGTTAAGGAATTATATTCAACCTGTTTACAGCAATGGAAACCGACAATTTGTTTAAAAGTAGACTCACTTAGTAAATAGATCATGTAATTTTAAGATCTTATTAATGGCCTCCATGTTCTCAAACTTACATGTATGAGGAAGAGAAAGCGAAAAAAAGAAGAATTCACACATGACAGGAATTGATATTTTAAATTAATTACAATTCACAATATTATATATGTATATAAAATGAATGAGTACTTTTTTAATTAATTAATTGAGGACTACAGAATAGTCATTTGTGGATTCTCTATGACCAAAATACAGCACGCGACACTCTACCCAATTATCAGTTGAACTGTGGCTGTTAGTGGTTTGCCAACGGTGGGAAACTCACTGTAAACTAATTTTGTCTAACAGACAAAATTGGCATTCGCAACACAAACATTTCTTGATAAACCTGTTATTTATGTTCCAAATACTGTAATTTCAAATAACATTTCATTACAAGTCAAAATGTAATCCATTGTATTATATGACTACATTCATTATTACAAGAGAAATCATCATGTCAAACAGCGTGAGTTACCTTAATAAAATTTACATTAGCTCGAAATGACAGTTAAGTTTGCTTAGTGCACATCTTGTTTAACGCTTGAGAACGCGCATTGTAGAAGATAAGAAATGATATTTCGCCTCATGAATTTACACTTGTTAACGTGACGCCGTAATCAATCACAGCAACATTCAAAGTCCATTTCGTTTTCACGTCCATTACAGGGCACATGTATTTTGACCAATGAAGTCTTTGCTTTCCCTAACACTACAAAGTGAGGACAGTAGGCAGGTCCAGTTACCTCGTGTGGGACTGTTCGGTATGTTGTGTGTCGGAACAAAACTATGAATACCTTTTGGTGATGCAAATGTGACTATGATGTACAGGCGGCAGAATAGGTAGAACATTGCTCTCGCGATGGGCCCTATAAACGAGTTTGCTGGAGCAAAATTATGATATTTTGGCTTAAAAAAGCATTTCCTATTGTTACTCGTAGGTTATTTTTAATTTTAATAAAATAATATATGGAGACTCTATAAGTACGTTTTTGAAAAAAGTATATTTTTGGCCTGAATATTACTATACAAATATAAATTTATAAGTAAATCATTGCTTAACTTAATATATAATAATATATTAATATAGAGTAGAAGTAATCATAAAACATTCTTTATAAAGATTTTCAGATTCTACAATACTTTCTCGATCACAATTCAGTGCAAGGTGAATGCAGGATGGAAAAGAAATGGATTATCATGAATCTTAATTAGAACTGATCACGACTGCTCTAGAATCATGTGCAGTGCTCTAACAAATACGACAAAATTCAAGCAACTTCCATTGCGTATCAAAAATTTATCTCATCTCGCAACCTATATTCAAACATCAAATCCGCATTGACCAAACAAAGAATAAGGAACAATGAACAACCGCTAAGCAGGCGAGGGAGGGATCGAACCGGCCCCACATGGTCTGAAGTCATCATTAGCCGCAGGAGCGTAGTGCGAATAGAGGTCGGATTTTGTCCAGCTAGAGGCGCACAATGACCAATTGCTAGACGGGACAACTCGCCCGGCTCTTCGTCGACGCGGGACAGGACGGGACGGGCAGGCGGACGGGAGGGGCGGCGGGGGCGGAGGTGCCGAGGTGGTGGAGGGAGAAGGAAGTGGAGGGGAGGGGAGGGTGGGGGTGCACGCGCCTGCAGAGCCGCGCTTTACAAGTGTGAAGAGCGCATGAAAGGCGGCGACAGTCCTTTTCAACACTTTGAAATACCCGAGCAGCGCGCATTTGAATATGAATGGGAGATGCATGATCGGGGGTGGGCGCGAGCGAACGCACGGGCTGCGGTGCGCCTGCGGGCGGGGAGGTGAGCGCGGGGCTGAGGCGCGGAGGTATTGGGGAGAGGAAGGGAGGTCGAGGAGGAAAGATATGAGGTGGGTCGGGATCAGGCACTGTGGTGCTGTGCGGCGAAGGGTGATATGAGGCCATCATATCAAGAGGGGAGGCAGGGAAAGGGGAAAGCCGGTAGTAAACGACCAAGCCAGGGATTGCGGGACAGGGCGAGGAAAAATTGGTCAGCGGACAGTGGGGAAACGAATGGAAACTCCTGTGCTGTGTGCGAAGCATGGAGAAAGAACTGTGAGAAGGCAACGGCAGGAGAGATGTTCACGTACGAAATGGTAGAATGATGGCGGGAACCGGAACGAAGTGGGCGGAGAGAAGAGAGAAGTGGAGGATGGGTGGGAAAAGGACATGTGGAACTTAAGAGGTGGATATTGTTGGGATTGACGACGTGTGTGTGGTGGGAAGAAAAAGCACAGGAGTAGGAAATGCAGAGCGGGGTTGAAACAAGCAGTGAGGACAAGCAAAACCAGGTCGGGAGAGGAAAGGCCGACAGAGGCGGGAAAGGCAGAACGGGGCGGGGAATGTAGGATGGGGCGGACGAAGGTAGGGTAAAGCGGCGGAAGGTAGGAATGGAAAAGTAGGATGGGCCGGGAAAAGGTAGGATAGGGCGGTGAAAGGTAGGGGGCGGGGAAAGATAGATGCGGGGAAAGGTAGGAGATGCGGGGAAAGGTAGGAGGGGCGGGAAAGGTAAGAAGGGGCGGTAAATGTTGCAGGGCCGGGTAAAGGTAGCAGGGGCCGGGAAAGAGAGATGCGGGGAAAGGTAGGAGGGGGGGGGAAGTAGAAGGGCGGGGAGCGTAGGAGGGGCGGGGAGAAGGTAGGAGGGGCAAGGAGAGGTAACGTGGGAAATTGAGGACTGGGGAGAGCGGCGAAATAGCGAACAGGCGTGTACAGGGAAGGTGAGCAGCGGGTGAGGAGTCGAATTTGCCGAATGGTAGGGCGGGCGGCTAAGGGAAGAGAGCGTGGGACTCCACTGCGGTGGACGGTATGGGGATGGGGGGGCAGTGGGGGTGGAGGAGGGGCAGGGCGCTCGCTGCCTAGCGAAGGCCGTGGTGCGAGGCTTTGCAAGAAGAAGTGTGGAAATGAGTGGGCTTTGTGGGCAGGCAGATGCTCTTTGCGGATACAGCGGCCATGACGTTCCTGTCGTGAATACGAAACTGCATATAGTATGTTTGCTGTGTGAAAGGGCAACATTGTGAATTGGTGAATTCTCGTATACGTCTTATGTACTGGTCGTCCTGGAAGATACAATTTCACACATTTCCCAATTAAGTGTCCACGCGGATTCATCTAATTCATAATGATTTTAAATTAAATATTAGAAATATTTTCACATAATTTTCATAGAACTCAAAAAGGTTTATGATAATGTATCAGAAAAAGAAGTATGGGGGCGATGAAAGAAAAATGAATATCAACAACATATATAAATGCAGTCAAACAGCTTTATAAAGATATTCAAAATTCAAGTGAAAGTGGGAAAATATCTATCAGATGACTTCCAGAAAATGAAGGATTACGGCAAGGCTGCTGTATATCTCCAACCCTGCTTAAGATATTCATTGATAAAGCCTTAAAAGATTGGAAAAGAAATTGCAAATGTATGGGTGTGAAAATAGGTGATGAAACAGATTTTACTCTACTATTTGCAGACTACTAGGTGATAATGGCTGAAGATGAAGAGGATGTATCTTATATGTTCAGAAAATTAGTAGAATTGAGTATGGAAAATGGGGAACGGAAATAAATGTACAAAAGACTCAGAATATGGTGGTGAGAGGTATGCCCCATGGTTTAGAGACTGGTATAGGACTAATTAAAGATAATATACAATGTAAGTATTTGGGAGTCACCGTAACAGCAGATGGTAGAGAACAGGATGTGAAAAATAAAAATATAAGGGGAAAAATAGCCACATAACAGTTGAATCCAGTGCTGTGGAACTCAATTATTTCAATGAAGACATAGCTCCTTCATTGAGGAGGGGCAGAAGTCTGGACACTAACAAAAATTATGAGAAACAAAATTCAAGCAACAGAAATGATGTGCTGGCGAAGATGTAAACTTTCTCTGTTAGTCAAAATAAATGATGAAATAAGAAATAAAATGAAAGTGCAAACAAATTTGAACGAGACGATCGATATGAAACAACTAAAATGATATTGACATATGAGAAGGTTGAAACCGGATAGACTTGTACAAAAAGTTTGGGAATGGATAATAAATCGAAGAAGATTCAGGGGAAGATCGAGACGAACATGGAACATGGCAATAACTGAAACCATTGAAAAAATAGAAATTGAGAAAAACGGCCCATTGTATAAATGCAGAAAACGGCCAAGACTGTGAAATAACGCTAAATAGATAGATATACATTAGAAATATTCAAAATAATGTAGTACTTCACTTCTAAAATTTTTATTTCCATTTACATTTAAAATTCTGCAATTTTCATAATTTTGATCATATTTGTGCTTGGCTCCAAATATTTATAATATAAAATATTTATTATGTCCTCAGCCACACCCGAGATGGATGCTTTTGCTGGTTGTGTGAAAGGTGACGATGATATGAACGTTGGATCGATGAAGGAAGAGGAAACAAGACAAAACCTGCCGTTAACACGCTTTCCCTACCACATAAATTGATCTGGGTCACGCTCCGATACTCAACGGTAGAAGGTGAGGGATCTGAACACTACATTACCTGTCGTTCCTACAAGATTTGTCGTATGTCAACACTTCTCTCGGTGACGGTTTCCTGCATTGACATTTTTCACTTATGAGCAAATGCCCACAGTTACTTTGAATCTAATAATACGTTAAACACATTCATTACAGATGCCTAAAAACAACAGTATGTCGTTCGTGCTCTGCATGACCTTTGTGTTTGTAGATTAGTCAATACCCAGGCCACTTCGTTAATTTTGTGATAGAGTCACCAGCTAGGTCGACGTGAAAGTCTGTTGTTCTAGCATCGTAAGTAACTTCAATTGTATTTTCCTTCCATTACTCTGTGATGGAGCTGCATGAAATGTGCGACCGGAGTACTAACACTCGAAAGTCTCATAAGACGGAAATGTTCTTTGGAGGATTTTAGTATGGAATAAACATGACGCACCAGAATAACTACGCAGGGGATAAGATAGCAAGTCCAAGTACTGAAGTTTTCTCTGAGTAAGACTGTTCAGCATTCTAACATGGAGACGAATTCTAGAGACTGGCTGCTCTGATGGGCAGTTTTCCGTGGTTTCTCCGATTAATATCAGCCGAATGTCGGAGCAGAATCCCAACAAACGGGTCACGGACCTCTCGCGATCTTCCCTTCCTCATGCTTGTCCTTCCATATCCTATATCCCCTTATACACACACACACGAACACACAAGCGCACACTTACATGAACTACACTATCATATGTGTCTGGAGACAAGTCGAGAGTTTAGATTACAGGTTATCCCGAGTGGGGCTATGACCACTGACGGAGGTACCTGAAGGGAGGAAAACTCCAAAATTGACATATTATATATATGACCTATAAGACAATGGCGTAAATATGACGTATCAGACAGCTCTTGATCTGACGATCCAGCGGGTGAGAACACCGCCTATAACATACACTACGCTTACGGAACTAATGGCGAACAACCACGAACCTCTCATATCACTTATTGGATTTTTCTTCTTGTTATATGCAATTTCTCCATACGAAGAAATTTTCCAATCAGATGTTTTCCTTAATATCTCGATGAACATCATCTACCCTTGCCCTCTTCACCCCCCTCCCCTCACTTCCTCCGAAAATGTTGGTTTTGCGACAACCCCCACTGTTCGCGCCCTGCTCAATAGCGTGTCGCGTGCGGCGTCTCGCTCACTTCCCACATCGCTGCCCCTTCCTCTCTAAGCACTGAGCGTCGCGGCTGCGTCTCCCCCCCACCTTGCGGTGCGTTGCCCGCGCTTCGGCGTCATTCACGCGGGCGCCGCGAAGGCCGAGGCTCGCGGAGCCGCACCGCCAGGAAGCCACAAATATTTATCGAAGCGATACGCGAACTCGCCTGCGGTGCCTTCTCGCGGTGCGCGCCAGGTAAACACAGGCGGAGCCAGCCCGCGCTGCCCGCCCGGCCTTCGCCCGGCGGCGGTCAAGGCCTGATAAAGCACGGCCCCCCTCTCCGCCCGCCACAACGCGGTTCTGTCTTCGCGCGGGAAGCGTTGGTTTTACAACGTGATGCCTAGTGCTCAGAAGTACAGAAACGTGGCGAAAATAAACAAAAAGAAAAAAAAGAAAATGGAAGAAACAAGATATAAAAAAAGAAAGTATCAGAAAATGAAGGAAATAGGAGAAAAAGAAATCAGCGATTTCAAAACCGAATTATGATAAATTGTTTAATGGCATTCAGCTCTTCCAGATCAACCGTAGGTTCCACAAACAGGTCAGTTAAAGTTAACGACGAATTAACTTGGAATGTAAGCTTTCACATGCCTTGTATTTTTAGATTTTGTAAATACAATTTTATAACAGTTATTCATTTTACATGTAGTTGAACAAGATCTCATTACTTGTTCGTAATTGTAGTGTCACCCTACTGGATTTGTGAACAGCCAATTTAATTACACCTAATGGTGTCTAAGTCATGCGAACCATACGTGTTTTATCTTATGCTGTTGCCTTTTTATTTTCTTACGGATTTTCTATTTTGTACGTCTATATGATTAATGGTATTACATTGTCTTCAACAGTACTCTTTATTACTTCGTATATAATGAGATTTATGTATTTTGAACGTGTAAATACTCAACAAATAAAAGCGATTGCATAAGATAAAAATATTTTAAAATATTAATGTAGCTGAAGGTATAAGAGAGGCTGTAACAGTACATGTAGCAGAAGAATAACAATAGTGTTATTATAAGTGAAGAGTTCAGAACTTCAGTAAAAAATGGTAGAAATGAAAAATTAAAAAGAGTATTATACGAGTATCATACTCAAAATTTGCTTTCAAAGAAAATTCCCTTTTTTCCCTATATTTTATTCTAAGCATTTTGCCATTACTTTTTGTGTTCTCTCGTTGTCTTTTAAGCAAATAAAACGCGAATTTCGCGCTCGCCTGCGCAACACCCGGTTTATGCCCTTTGAGCGCCCTTCAAGCGCGTCCCGTGAAGGGCCCCACTGTGCCCGAGACGCCACACGGGGCGCTGACGCCGATGAACACAGCGGCCTTTCTGCATTGGCAGACGTCAGTGGACGCTTTCACGCGCCGCAAGTTCAAGGTCCGATCCCCCTTATCGGCTCGGGATGATCGCCCCATGCCACTCGCCCGTCTGTGGGGAAAGGCCAGCCCGGGGGTGCGCTCCAACATTCTCCGGTCGCATAGCGGAACCAGGTCCGCACAACGAAAAATTTCTTATCTTGCAGAAATTTCATACGCGTACGATGGTGGTACATGGGCTCTTGGTAGAATTTTTCGTAAGTTCATATTATTTTTTCTTACCGTTTGCTGGATTGATATATTTAAATAAGACTTGTGCTCGATTGTTCACAACGATTTTTAGTCCGTTTTTCCGAATTTAAGAAGGCTCAGAATACGACATTAACACACACTGAGATATGCACTAGACATTTCATTTTGAAAACATATGGACTTGCAAACTTGAAAAAGATATAAATTAAAATGATTAAATGATCAAATTATAAAAAAAATATGGGATGCGTTGGATTCCATGGGCCCTCATAAAATTCCTGGGCCATTATTTATTGTTCCATAGTAACACTTTGAACGTTTCGGGAACACTTTTTCCCTTCTTTAGGTGTCTGTAAAAATTGGATTACCCTGTAAGCCAAAATTATGATAAAAAATATTTTGTAACTGCGTTTTTTGCAATAATAGTTCGGTACTAAAGTATCTGTATGATGCTCTCATTTTTTATTCATAAAATATACATTGCACCAGCGACATAATCAAATTTTTTGAAAATATTGGTTGGCCACATTTTACTAAACATCCAAAGACGTAAAATAAACAACTTCAACGCGACAGACAAAAATCATCAAGTAAATGATTATTTATTTCAATGCTAAAATTGGTAAGAAGCAAAACTTATGTCTGAGAAATGTTTAATATTATTTTGAATCAGATTTTCATTGGCTTATTTTGTCGCAGATTTTGTACACATATTCGAAATTCGGAATGTTATAATTTAGGTGGGACTAAATTTCAAGAAACAGCAATCAGCAAACAACAACCAAGTGTCATGTAACAGGTCATTTACTTTCTTCCTGCCAAAAAGCCGTTTCAAACGGCAGCGTTCCAGCGCCATTTAGCAGCAGCGTTCTCCCTTTGCCCTGTACAAAAGTCGCAGCCTCATTCACTCAATGTTGAACAGATGAGACATTACTTCTCTGTCTTGTGAAATATCGCCGGAGCATATAAAAGTGGTAATCTGAAAAAATGTAATTTTGTGTTGAGTGGAGAAAAGTATCCATTGTTTTGTTGAAACCAACAGTTCAAGAAAATATTCAGGATTAAGTTCAAAATATCACCAACGTTTGGAAATGAATCCCAATCATCTAGCTGTAAATCTACTTGATAATAGAAAAGAAATTTCTCGACTCGCTAGAATTTCCACTCTTTCATCTCCCCATTCGTTTTAATACTTAACATTTCTCCAAACATAGTCTCTTATGTTCATATATACTTAATTCTCCTAATCCTCAACAACAATTTTAAAAATGTTCTAATGATATTTTTATTATAGAATTTAAAAGGATCCCAAGAAAAAGACCACGGGGTAACTTTCTTCTTGATTTCATTTGATATTGCTCATAACAATTTACAGTATTTACTTATATCACATTTGAAATATATTGTAAATATTCGTTGAATAAAAAATAAAAAGACACCTTGGATAGACTTAAACACTTCGCTTTGGTCGTGAAATAAACGGCTCTTGACAAATCAAAACCATTCTCTTGAGAAATAAATTTTTTTTAGATAAGCCTCTTTTCTTGAGCGTGACAATTTTGTTGCGCAGTCACGGTGGTCTAAATGTTGGTCTTCTCTCATGCTCGTCTTCGCGCTACTTTTAGTTAATTAAATTTAACCATTATTATTTTTATTATTTAAAATTGCAATAAGGTAAATAAAATTATTTTTTAATTCTAAATTTACAATTATTTTAAAATTATAATTTAATTTTTATAAATATCAAGCTATTTTGCACAATCGTAAAACATTATATAGTTCCCCGTAACACGTACAATACGCAATGGAATTTTCCAGTTCATTCGAACTCTTCGCCCGATTGAATTTCACTTCTTGCAAATTGAATACTACATTCCTTTTCTATATTTCTCCCCACATTGCTACGATACACATCGTAGTTCGTGGATATTGTACGGTATGTATAGGAAACGATCACTTCTTTCAAATGGTAATTTATACATAAACTGTTACGCAGGGGTCAGAATTTCCACACACATTTCCACACACAAATTCAGGTTCTATTAACTTTATGTACATTCAGAGTTTTACTATTTCCATTTCTGATGTGTATTATATTTCTTGATATATTTTCAAGTTTTTCGATTGGCGTCATACATTGCGACAAATTACTTCAAACTGTACTACATAAACACAGTTAATAGAATATAGCCTAAGGAATTATCAATGTAATGTAAATACATGGCTTCATGAAAGCGAAAGTAAACACACGTAAATCATCAAGCCAATATAAACACATTGGCCTGATAACTTCACTTGCATACGAAATGGGAGTTGAGATACATGAAAAAATATTTTTTGCAGGTTAGTAAGCACTCATACTGCGCCACTTCGTCTTGTTCTACTTTTCTCGGAAACACTGAAAGCGTGGTTAGGGAGTTTTTGCACCCTCAAAGGTTAAAACAGTCGAAAGCACTATCGATCTTCTACGTGTGCGCAGTTGACGATTCGCATCGCTTTTGTGCATCTGCGCATGCGCAGAAGATGGAAGTTGCAGTCAACTGCTGTCCGCTAAGGCGTGCAAAAAGTCCCTATTGGAATATTCCCATTAGAAAAAGTAGAAAATCTAAGAGGAGGCGAGTGTCTGCCGTCAGCCAGCAAGCACGCCAAGAGAGCAAAGGAGCCGTGCAGGCAAAGAGGAAAGGACGCCTGGGAGAGCGGCGGGCACTGGCGCCTGAGGGGCGGAAGGCGACACACGCCGTTGCGTGCGCTCGGCGGCGGCGGCCGGGGACAGAGCACTGTGGTATGAAACATGCAAAAAGCGGACAAAACTATTTTTTTCGAAACTGTGCAATTCTACTCGGTTTCAGCTCTGATGGGTGGAGGAAGTCCGTCCGCCTTCGGGAGTCATCGCACGCCTCAGGGCTGAGCTCTCTTGCCAGAAAGCTTGCTGCAGCTCTGGAGGACCAGGTACTAGCTCCAGGCAAGGCGTAACCACCTGGCCTTCGCGCAGAGCGCCGAAACTCACACTTCTTTGATAGGTGGAGGGAAGTGTAGGTGGCGAAACGGTAGGCGGGATCCCTGAGTTCTGGGTTTAATCCGAGGCAATTACTTGCGGAATGTGTTTTGGGCAAAGGAACTCTCCCTGAGTTTTCTCAGAGCCCTTTCGTTTTCGCTGCCCCCTTATAAAATAAGGGGTTGGTTCCTTCATCGTACACATCATCGTCAGCAGCTATTCAATTTTCGCTCATGATTTTCAATTACCACCGTCGCTGAACGGCTCCTAAATTCCAATAAATAATTATATCTACTGATATATGCTGATATAAATGAACTCGTTTCGAATTTTCTATGCAAACCGTGTAGCAGGCACCCAAAAATGAAGAATTGTTAAGAAATTTTAGACAGGTAAATCATTAAACCTTATCTGCATGTGCCTCATGAACTCCGATCAACCACCCTCTGCTATACACCGACCTCTCGCTCCGACTTAACCAAAGTCATTAAGCAGCTCAGCATGGTTTTGGAAGAAGATTTAAACTTTCACAAGTCAAGAAAACATCCTAGCCAGGATCATACAATACTTAAGCGATCTCGCGTGGCGTGGCGTGGCGTGGCGGGGAATGGCGGAGCGTGGTGAGGCGTGGAGGGGCGTAGCGGGGCGGGGTGTAGCGGGGCGGGGTGTAAGCGGGGCGGGATTTGCGGGCGCGGGGGTGTAGCAGGGCGGGGTGGTAGCAGGGGCGGGGTGTAGCGGGCGGGTGTTAGCAGGGCGGGGTGTAGGGGGCGGGTGTAGCAGGGCGGGGATGAGGCGGGGGGAGAGTGGCGTGTGGTGGAGGGAGGGGTGTGTGGGCGGGAGTGGCGGGGCCCGTGAAGGAGGGGAGGTGTGTGTGGCAGGGCGGGGTGGGGCGGGAAGGGGCGATGGTGAAGTGGGGAGTGCGGTGTGGCGTCCGCGCATCGCGTGTGAGCACGCGGCAAAGTGAACCTTCTCGAGCGCTCGCGACAGGGCGCCCGCGACAAGACGGGACGGGACCGGACGCGACGCGACGCGACGCGACGCGACGCGACGTGACGTGACGCGACGTGACGCGACGTGACGTGACGCAAGGTTGTGCGGCGTCGCAGGAAGCGCTAGTCCGCCGGTGCACAAAGCAATGACGCGGGAGTGCACAGCGCTGCTTCCATTCGTTGCTAGGGAATTTTTTCACTATACAATTTTGGCGGTCAGCATTAATGGCCATCTCCTCTCAATTGAAAAAAATGTGATTCCAGTGAACGTTTTCGTTTTTCATGTGATACACGTCTCCAAGAAAACCTCAGGAGGAAATGCTTGTCTTCACTCAAGGACGGGAACGAGGAAAGCATAAATGCTTATCGAACACTCGCTTCTTCAATTGAAGGCTAGCGACTTCCTTCATTTGCTCTAGAGTTACTAATTAAAAAGTAAAAATGGCTCGTTTGTCTAACTAGAAATACCTTTAATGGTGATTTCACTGCATTCTGATCCACTTTTTGTATGTAATATCGCGATACATGTTAAAGGAAGTTCCTAGAATGATGTAATTTCAACACAATTTCTGAGAATATTATCGAAGTAGAGCATTCGTCTAATTTTAGTAACTCTTGCTATTGAACGTGAACGTACAAGTATATCTTTTTTATTCACCTTGTACAGAAACGTGTACACCTTGACATGTACACCTCTAGAAACGAAAAATGTAATTCCGATGTAATTGTACCTATCTATTGCTTTCCTGAAAGAACAAGTGCAACTGAAAAGATGCTTATTTATAAAAAAATATTTTATGTGAAGGCTACAAGTAAGTATTGCCCAGAAATATCACGTGTATCACGACAAACGCGCTTTGAAATGCACCACTTGAGCATTTTTCTGAAAGCGAAGTACACACTGACTGGTCATATATGCAGAGAGCAACACTGAATTGACAATGGTCCGGAGACGGAAAACGACTGTGTAAAAGAGAAAAATGATTTATGGCGCGATCATTGAGAGATACAGCGGAGACAGTGGGAAAACCTCATTCAACTCAAGGTACATCAGCGATATTGATGTACGATGACATCTGAACAAGTAAAATGAGTAGAGGGCTAAAACCAACAATTGAGGCACCACCAACGAATGAGAAAAAAGTACTATGGTGAATCACATTATCAGGATTCTTTGCCAAAATGTCGTTAAAATCGTTCCATATGTTGCTATAATAATAGAGGAGACGGAAACCGTCCGAAGTGCGCTTCGAGATACATTATACAACAGACGAGTGGCCAAGAAGAATCCATCCCATTAATTAGTCAAATACACGCAATAGGTTGCAGGTCGGGAAATATTATAAAAATCGCCTTTTAGAATTATATGAATTCGTTCGTTTCAGCGACGAGAGCAAATTTGAGATATTTTTATCACACAAACAACAGTGCACCTGTGGAGAAAGGTCTTAGGACAGGCGAGCCCAAGAACACCTGCTGGGAAGCGCGGGGCTTCCGTGGGCACATGCAACTTCTCCTGACTCTTGTTTCCCCGTCAAATCGAGAAAGAGGTGTATAGGTACAAGTTGTAGAGGTGATAGTAAACGCAAAGCGCGTTCCAAATACGACGACGACTGGTTGCTTAAACGAAAGCATGTTCGCCGATGTTAACAATGAAACAACCGATATTTAAATTATGTTTATATACTGTACGACTCTTTTTCATCTTTATTTTAAATTTCTGCCTAGTATAACCATTTTGGCCAACGGACGGAATATGTTTGAATGGCAAATTCTTGCCCGTTTTCGCTATGTGTTATTTTTCTTAAGCGATTCTGATGTAGTCAACCCTCTTTGATAAAACCTACTCTTGAATTTATTATATCACCCCAACGGGCGGAAAGCTACAGACAAGAATATTTTTCCTAACATGAATGTAGGAAGTTAATGCATTAATTGCACACCCAAAGGAACGCGATTGCGATATGAATCGATTGGAAATCGATTCAAAATATTTAATTTTACTCACAACTGATAAGTTCAAATACTGCTAATGAATTTCACTTACAAGGATATTTTATTTAAATATTAATATCGCTAAATTGGAGGTAATAACTGACTTCTCCAATATAATATGATAGGCTCGAAATTTAGTAATGTACCGTCACCCCCGAGCAATTTGTACAACCCTCACTTTCAAATTCCGTGCCAGTTTCTCTGGATGGAGTGACCGCGAACTTTAGCAAACTAGTTACCCTGCCTGCGACCTCGACATGCCTGCCTTAGGAGATGAAAACTAACGATCACCTGTGTAGCACGGTGGAGGCTCCGTCATGGTAAGAGGCTGCGTGGAGGCTCCAGGTGCCGAGAATCCAATTTTGTTGATACCATTCTCCAGAAAAACCGGGCAGAAAATTGAAAACTCCGTGAAAAAAGGAAATTTGATTACTCTGGAGTCGAACCGTATTTCGAACCGTATGTTTCAAGAATGGTCTCCACACTTTGGTATGTATTATACAACTTTTGTTCAATGCTTGAAATGCGTCTTTTAATATAACGCCTAACGCAATTACTAAAGCTTATCTGAACTTTACTAAACTCCTTACGACCGTAAAACGTCGTTAGACACGCGATCAATGGCGTTTAAGGATGACTTCTTATACGTTATGATAAAACTCCTTAATATAAAGAGATTACTGTAAGAAGGAACCGCTTTGACACCTGCTTGGCCACTACTTGCAATATAACTGCAGGTTAAGTCCATTAATTCATTTTGAGAGTGCGTTCGTTTACAATTTGTAAATGGGTTCATCACTATATCTTGCAATCAATCTTGCAATCTCATCATCACTATCCCATCGTCCTGCGTGACGTTCATTTGTTTCCTGACCTGTCAAAGTGGTCGCTTCTAAGAGTAACTACTCTATAGTACACGGCCGTTAAGGTTGCGATCTTGTCCTTCAGCCGTTCAATTAAACAAGACGCCTACCCTACACTGAACGTCGCCGCCCACTTGCGCGAGGCGACAGCTGCGTGGGAGCAGCGCGAAGACGTGCTGTGCAGAGCGGAGGCGCGGGAATGCGCGGAGTGGCGTAGGTTCGCTCGCGTCGCGTCGCGGCGGCGGCACCAACGGAGCCTAGCGGTGGCGGTGGCGGTGGCGCCGAGATACGACACGCAGACGCCAGGCAGCGCCAGGAATGCGGTGCGGGTTGGCGAGCGTTGGGGGATAGGTGTAAACGCGCGGTTGCTTTCACTGGAATGAGAATGTTGGAGTGCTCGGATAGTAAGATCGTGGGTGGGTGGGGAGATAGGTAAATAAGTAGCAGAACCAGTTGTGTGCTAGCGTGTGGGTAGGCGAGTTGTCTATGTCGTTGATAATTAAAGAGAGTCAGTGGTTTGTGAGAGGAGAATTATGATGAACAAGTGAATGGTAGGAGCGTGGGCAGGAGCGTGGGCAGGAGCGTGGGCAGGAGCGTGGGCAGGAGCGTGGGCAGGAGCGTGGGCAGGAATGAGGGCAGGAGAGAGGGTAGGAGTGAGAGGAGGGTGGGAAGGAGAAAAGGTAGGAGAATGGGTAGGTCATTTGAAATCTTTTCATTACATAAATATAAACTACCTGACTTTTTACAATTTCCTGCCAAAATCCTAGTTTTGGCTATTAATGACAATTTAAATGAAGAAGGGAAAATGAGATAAAAAAATACGCCATACATATAGCTTCAAATATACAGTACATTGGCAAGTTGGCTCGAGTATTCAGAATATATCTAGAAGTGGGAGATTCTCTTTAACAAAACTGGATTTTTTTCTCAAACAATAATTTCTCAGAACTGGAAAGCGGCGAGATATAATTGTTGGAAATGGAATTATTTTTCATTTAACAAGAGGGTTTGAAAGCGGAAAAGATCAAATATCTATGGCAATAATTGTAGCAATGCGAATGAATAAATGTTGCATTCCCAGTGAGATTTTTTTAATCATTTATTTAAAGTCTCATCTACAACTGAGGTCAA